CAAAAAAGTAAAGATGTACTTCGCTTAATACTGCCTATTATAGTATATAATAGTCAATGCAAAGAGATTGAACAAAGGTCAGAAAGAACAGGCTAACCTTTAATATAAAGAGTTATTCTGTTTGAAAAAACATCTGGATTTCCTGACTGTGAAGCCTTACAATAAACTTGTTTGTTATGGTCGGAGATAACTGGATAAAATGTTAATGTAGACACTGTGACAATCTCCCTTTTCTTCTCATCGTTTTCTCCTATATACCAGATAATTGTGGCTGTTGGTCTACTTTCACTTGCTGTACATGTCAATGTTTTAGATACACCATTTATTACTTCTAGTGTTCTTGATGATATAGTGTTGCCATCCTTTAGTGTAACATTAGCTACCTTCACTGAAATAAATGTATATGATACTCTTAAAAAAGATAAATTTCTCAAATGCATATAATTTTGAAAGCAGAAGTTAAATGCAATGGAAGAATAAACAGAAAATGGCATGGCCAATAACACATGTGTTTACATTATTTGTTATAAGCTAAGAGATTATATGATCACAAACTATTTCAGTATTCTAACTAATGACAATTTAATCAAACGTATTTTTTTTTTATTTTTATTGAACGTGCAAATATTATAAGCAGTCACAAAATGAACATAACTGTGGCAAAAATAACCTATAGCAAAAAGTAGTTCAGTACCCATTCTGTCTTACTACAGCATGTTTAACTTTAAAATGATAAAATCTTGTTTTCAAAACATCCTATCTAAATTTAACTATAGAATCGTTATCATACATTAAAACTGCAAAATTGTACTCACCTTTTACATACAGTGACGCAAGGTTTGAAGACACAGCTTGGCTTTCAGACTGTATATTAAATGCTTTACAGTAGACTTGTTTCTTATTATCAGAATATTCTGGTGTGAATGTAAAGCTTGAACTTGTAGTAGTTTCTCTTTTTTGTTCCTGGCCTCCAAAATACCAGATGATAGTTGTTGTTGGTCTGCTAACACTAGATGTACACGTCAATGTATGAGGTTCCCCACTGTTTACTTCTAATGAATTTGATGGAATTGAACTTTCATCTTTCAAAGTCACTGTTGAAACACGTACTGAAGCATGATGGGACACAAGAAGAAACAGTTGTTTGAGACTTTATACATTTTCTCAGAGCACGCCTTTTAAAGTATACTTGTAAAATAACAGTAAATATTTTCCCACCTTTCCCCATCTAACTGGTTTTCAGAATAATTTGAATGTTGGGAAAGGCAAGCATTTTGTCTGACTATTTGAAATAAGGAGGAAAATAGGAATAAATAGCGTATGAAAAACTAAGCTAAAATGTGTCGTCTCGCCATGGATGTCCCCGCAAGCAGCCAATAATTCAAATGTTATAATATTTAGTTCCAAATTTTCTTGCACAAACTAATTTTTTTTTATTCTAAGTTCAAAACCCATAAAGCTATTCAATGTTAACATACACCATTTTTATACAACGTTCTAGGCCCTGAAACTTTCAGGGTTAACCTTTTGTAAATTGCATATTGCATAAATGAAATCGAGGTAATGACTACGTACATTTCCCTAAAAGTTTGAGTGCCAAAACTGAAATTTTTTTCAAACATTCAAGAGAGATAACTTTGTCCAAAACCATTTAACCAGGACCAAATTCAAATTGACCTGCTTATTCCTAAGATGCATCTTAATGTCAAATTTTAGATGAATGTGTACAACTATTGTGGACGGAACCATACATTTCTTTTTTTTTTCAAAGTTCAAGAGGGATAACTCTGTCAGTAATCATCAAACCATGACTAAATTCAAACTAATTTAACTAAGCAAAGAGGAAGAGGATAAGCGACAGACCTGAAATCAAATTCCATGGTATGGGACCACATGTTCATGCTATATACTAAATATTAAGAGACTGTTATAAGAAGGTGCTGAGGAAACTGATACGAAAACACCAGCCAACCTACCCGCTCGCCGCCCGACATTCACCAAAGTATAACCCCAGTTTACATATATGGAACCCGGCTATATATACTATGATCATATGTTAAGATGATGTTATAACCTATTGAGTGGCTCAATATTTGCGCATGTGCAGAACAGAATTTTCCCCTACAATACTACGTCATGAAATATCATGATAAACAAAGGGGTATGTTAGTAAATAAAGTACTGAATTAACATTATTTAACGGTTTTTTTTCTTGGAAATGGAAAGTGTCTTTACAATTCCAAAACAAAACAATGACCTTGGAATTGAAACAAAAATAAAACGCTTATGACAGGAATATATTGTGTACGGTAAATTGATTGTCCGGTAAATATAAAGGATCCCCGTATAGTGCTAGCAGAATAATTACTGCTACAGAAAGTGGTCTTACCATAAAAAGTATTTTAGGTAAATTATGAGCTAAAACTAAATATTCTGGCTCTTACTTTTGTAGTTTTATTATTAATAGAAGTTAAATTGAACTTATGATATCAAATTTATTAATTCTTGCTGGCTAAATTCAATAAATATATATAACATGTTCTTATCTCAGTTTATAGTAAAGTACTGATAAAGAACCAGATAATAAGACAGTTTGAAATATTCGAAAGTAGACCAGTCTGTAAACATGACAAGCAGTATATTTACCTGCAAATCTGACATCTAGAGATGCTGGAGTAAAACGTTGATCTATTGCACCAGTAATTGATATAGCACCACACTGAAACTTCACAGTGGTATCTGTATTGTCAGTAAACTGTGTGTATCTTGATAGAGTTAATGCTGATGTATATATTTTTTCTGAGTCAGTACAATCTCCAGTTTTCTCTGTGACAGGTGCTGTTGTTGGCCATTCTTGACGTGATCCACCAGTCTATAATGCAACAAAGGTTTAAATTAAATAACTAGCATAATTGACGTTATATTTAATTAAAGATATGGCTAATAATGAAATAAGTATATTTTGTATTTTTAGTTCGTGTTTGGTGCCGGATGGTTTATCAATTTATAAGTTTTATATATAATTCATAAGTGATCAAAATTACCTTATTATAATACCATATAAAATTTGGTGCAGGATATGCACATCCTGTACTACAGCTTAAGGTCACTGAAGTTTGAACTAAGTCTTGATTCTGGCTCGGTGGATTATCATACTGTAGTGATGGAGTAATTGCTGGAATGAAACAAATAAATAGTATCTTAAAAGACAATAAACCTGTTATTTAATTCTATCAAGTAAAACAAGTTTGTTTAAAACCATAGATATACTAAAAAGATGCTTGAATTGAATTGAATGCATATGCACAGCAATTATGGAAAAGAATGTTAACATCAAATGTGCAACAAAACCACGTATTTTATCTTAAACAATTATTTACGCGTGTCGCTAAATGCAGTAGATTCATCAGAATGTATAACTGACGTGACGTCAAATAAACAATGTGACGCAATAAAGCGGCAAAATTCAACGTTACGTTCAAAGTCCTCGCAGCGGTTTCTTCTATTGTTCAGTTCAGTTATTGTTACCAATCGTGCCAAATCGCAGTTTGATCACGAGAGGCAGTTGTGAACCAAATGGCGTCTATACAAAAGTTATTTTCAGAACTAGTACCAGTTTGGCATTAGTTTAATATAAACAACAAGCATAATGCAAGAACATGACAAAGATACAATAACTGATCTGGTTATCAATCCAGCCAATATTTCTTTGTACGCTAACTTGAATTCAGATTTGCAACTTAAAAAAGAAATCCCTTTTTAAAAAAACCTTTATAATTGTGTTTTGTGAAGGTTTATTGATAGATTAGGGTTGCAAGTGTTAATTAAATATTCATTCAGACTCCGAATATTATCGGACGTTGAGAAGACATTCTTCTCCTGGTCGTTTCGATTTTGGTCTTTCAATGCCGTGGTTATTTCTACTATAAACAGTATGTGTGACATGACCTATGTTGTTATAGCTTAATTGTCGATTGAATGGGCTATATTCAGTGATCTCACTTATCAATCAAAGGCAAATCATTATATATTAAGTAATGTTAAAATCAATATTTACGCGAACCATTTATATTATCAAAGAGGCCAAAAATGTTTGTATTAATGAAAATGGATAAAATAAATTGGTTGATTTTGCAAAAATATTAATAAAAAATATGAATATTTTCAACTAGATTACTTGATTTTAATATGAGAAATTAAACATTTTGCATCAAAAATCAGAAGACTTTTTAATTTCCTATAGAAGGATGTGAATTATTGTGGAAAGTGTATGATAATTTTTTTGAATACTTTGTTTATTCCTTTTTATGCAATTACACTATATTTTCCATAAAATATATTTTAAACTAGATGCTCAAGGGCACGTGTCGAGCCCGCTGTCACATCTGACCTTGATGAATGACCTTGAGTTTTGACCTAGTCAAACGGGTCTTGAGCGTGACATGCCGTCTCATGATATTGAACATTTGTGTCTGGTAATTTGAAATTCCACCATCTAGTGATATAGTTATGGTGCGGACAAGCTGCTTGAGACAATTTTGTTGCATTTTATCTTAAAGTATAACCTTGTCCTTTGACCTTGCCACATAGTTCTTGTGCGTGGCACACGATTTTAAGATGTTAAACATTTCTGCTAGGTTATTTGAAATTCCACCGGCTAGTGATAGAGTTATGGTGCGGACAAGCTGTTTGAAACAATTGTGTTGCATTGACCTTAAAGTATAACCTTGACCTTTGAGCTAGTCACACGGTTATTGCACCCGACACGCCGTCTCATTATTGTGAACATTTGTGCTTACCAATTTGAATTTCTGCCTACTATTGACAGAGTTAGCACCCTGATAAGCATTATCTCGCCGTTAGTTAAATTTTGACCTTTTACCTAGTCAGACAGGTCATGCGTGTGATATGCCGTCTCACAATATTGAACATTTGTGTCAGGTTATTTGACATTCCACCAACTAGTGATAGAGTTATGGTACGGACAAACTGTTTGAAACAATTATGTTGCATTTGACCTTAAAGTGTAACCTTGACCTTTGAGCTAGTCATACGGTTCTTGCGCCCGACACGCCGTCTCATTTTTTTGAACATTTGTGCTAACCAATTTGAATTTCTGCTTACCATTGGAAGAGTAACCACCCTGGCAAATTTTATCCCACCTTTAGTTAGATCTTGACCTTTGACCTAGCCACACTGTTCTTGCGCACAAAACGCCATATCTTGATGTTGAACATGTGTCTCATGTTATTTGAAATTCCACCATCTAGTGATAGAGTTATGGTGCGGACAAGATGTTTGAAACAATTTTTTGTTTGCATTTGACCTTGAAGTGTAACCTTGACCTTGCCACATCCTTATTGCGCATGACACACCGTCTCATTATTGTGAACATTTGTGTAAACTTATTTGAAATTCTTCTTACAAATTCTGCTCTCCTCAATCGGGCTCGACAGCAATTAAGTCTGCAAAATGGTCTATACGTTAAATAATTTGCATTCTCTTTGTACCTGTAATGTTATCAATAGCTATTGACAATAAGACATGGCAAGAAAACACTTAAGAAAGCTATTTGCAACAATATAAATACAGGTCAATAATAAAATTAAATTCTATCAGTTATATGCACTAAATTTCACGCTACATAATTCAACTGTATAAATTAAATGTATCTGCTGTACCCAGGATTTTTAATAACAGCTCCCCATACCTTTTTAACGCGTGTATAGATTCTTAGGACAGAAGCATATTTGATGTTGCACAAAGTCTTCATATAAACAATTACATTTGGCACATTTCCAGATATATTTTGAGCAATGAGGTTGCTGATTTTAAAGCTTATTAAGCAAATTTTGGTCGTCTGGACACCAAAATAAGGATGGGAGTCGATATGAAACCCATTTAATTAAACAAATGTAGCTACACTGTATTTCTGTTTTTATGAAATTAACAAAATGCAGTCTTAGGAAGAATGTTAATCTGGGTGAAAAATCTAATTTGAAAAGTGGGAATAACTTTGCTTTGAATAACGTAAGGATTATCTGCGCTTGTAAAATAGCGTCCATGTAAAAAAAAAGTATACCAAATTTGATGTGAATAGCTTTTATATCTTCTGAGAAATGACCTAAATAAAAATGTAACCAACGCCGACGAGAAGGCCAATTTTAGTGCGAAAAGTGGAGCTTAAAAGCGTTATTCTAAATTTATGTCACAATACTGTTGCCCACTGTACTTGTAAAGGACAAATTGCTGCTGAAATTATTATTATTGGTTTACAATAGATATATATCCATGACAAACATACATTTCTATAAAAATAGCATTAATATTGAGGTATGCTGCTTTAAACAGAACAAAACAAAATCTTTATTGTAGACTTGAGCTCTACGCTCCTCGTCTATATAAAAACAATACATATAATACAAAAGTCAATTATAGCATGCATACAGAGAGAGATAAATAAACTTTTTGAACAACATTTTATGTGTAACAGAAACTAATGCAATTCATGAGTACAAATCGCCACAGTAACCCTTGCAATTTCTGAATGTAACGAATTTAATGTTGTTTGTTTTTAACAAATGTCTCTAGTGAAGGTTATACAAAACTTCAAATTATAGCAGTTCGTTGGATCTGATTTTTAAAGCACAATTAAGATTACATGCTAATTTGTTTAAAACATCTATGTTTGTGACTGACATTAATTCAAGAAATTTAAACATGCTAGGTCGTTCATAATAATAACTGTCTATGTAACGTTTCCTAATCCATTTATACTTGGGACACATAATAACAAAATGGAACTCATCTTCAATATCAGAGGAATTACATATTTCACAACGTCTTTCAGTTCTTTCAATTCTATTTTGTCTATACCTTCCTGTTTCGATGCGTAATTTGTGAGCGGATAACCTAAATTTTGTAATAAGTTATCTAAAAAGTCATATTAAACATGCTTATATACAGTTAACACTCTGTTGTTCTCTAAGTTACTTTTCCATTCTTGAGTAAAACAGCCTAACAAACGCTATTAAAATTGTATTATAAATGTGACTTCATTACAATTTAAAAGGTTTTCCCAAACATACCCATAACCAAACGTATATAACATTGGTTTTACATTTGACAGCCAATTAGTTTTATTCATTTGTACGTTTTCCAGCATTATTGAATACACTGTTTTTAAAACACAAATACTAGTTTTTAACACTTTAAACCAAAATTTAAGCACTTTAATTACAGCGGGAATCATCCTAATTCATCATATACACCAGCAGTACTTGTGGATATCTTAACATTTAATACTCGTTTGCAGAACTTCAAGTGTATACGCTCAATCCCTTTACATTTGGTAAAACCCCACACCTCAGCTGAATAATTTAAAATCGATGTTACAAATGAATCGAATAAACTACACATAGTTTTTGGGGAAAACTCGAACTCTTTCGTATTAACTTATAATGTGTTTATTGCTTTAAGCGCTTTACCCACTTACATTTTGGAATTAGATTGAGTCCACCATTTGAACCAAATATGACTCCTAGATAGTTAAAGTTCTCGACTGTTTCTAATGTAATTCTATCGTATGTCCATTTTTCATCAACATGTAATCTTCCATTCTTTCGAAATACCATCACTTTGGATTCTTCCTTGTTTACTTTCAAACCCCATCGATTACAATATGTCTTTAAGTCATTAAAACTCTGGTGAAGATCCTCGATGTTATCCGATAATAGCATCATATCGTCTGCATATAGGAAAAGGATTAGTGTTATATCGCCATAATTAAGACCATTTTCTAGTCCAGATCCTAGGAATAATTCTAGGTCTTCTATAAACATAGGCCAGAAAAGAGGTGAAAAGATTTCTCCTTGGTTTAGACCAACGATTAAGTCCTTGAAATCCGAATATTGGTTATAGTGACTGACACGGCATCTCACGTATTCATACATTGATCTTATAATCCGTAGCATTTTACCATTTATTCCAAGTTTATGCATTTTAAACCATAAAGCATTTCTGTAAACGCTGTCAAAACACTTTTTTCATATCTATAAGTGTAGCATAAAGTCTTTTCCCATCATTAAAACTACTTTCTATTATACTATTTAGACAGATAATCGCATCTGTAGTGGAAAACCCCTTTTTAAATCCGAATTGTGAGTCTGAAATAAC